CTTTATTGACCAATCTAAACATACCCCGCCTACTCTCCCCAATAGACACCTCATTGAAACCCACAGGTATTGCTAGTTTGAAGATTGCCATATTTAAAGAAAACAAAACCCATTAAAAAATGTAGTAAAGGTCTTAAGTGACTTGAAAAAAATCAATTTTCAATCATACAGAGAAAATCATACAAATTATTGAAAATACTGAAAGCGCTATGCCTTTGTAAAATTAAATTAATATGATTAGTGTTTCTTCTTTAGGTCTGCATAGATAAGCTCAGTTAGCCTTAAAAAAAGTCTATTGCTTTCAATTAAGTTGGATCTGCCCACCAATTTTCAGGAATGAACAAAATTAATTGTTTAAATAATATTAAGCAGGAAGCAGAGTTATTATATGTAGTGAGCGGTATGGCTGCACTAGTATACATATTATATATACATACTGATAGATATTTATAGGAAGCAGAGAAAACAAAGAGACTAAGTGGATTATTCACAAAGCTGCCGAAGCCAACCGAGTGAATAACCCAGCCGAAGTGAAGTGAGCCGAACAACATTTTCAGCTGTACATCAGCTAAAATCAGCAGTACATTGGCTGCCTTCATAGGGGTCGAACAGCAGTGAGTGAATAGCTGAGCGCCATTACCTCTGAGGTACCAATCAGAATAGAAAATAAGTGAAAGAAAAGTTAAAAAATTATTAAAAAAATAGGAAAATGTAAAAATATAAAAAAGAAATGCTGCACGCCCACCCGACTGCACACAACGGACTCCCCCTGCATAATAAAGCATCTGACAGATGCCGGTAAAAGCAAAACAATTGGGCAGAGCTAGCAGTGGCAGCTAGCTCCGCCCAACTGTTTCCTATTGGCCGGCACCTTCAAGAGTCTTCTAGCAGATCCCAGCCAATGAATAGCAACTGGACGTGACACCACAGCCAGCACCACCCAGTTGTTATTGTTTAGTGACAGATCAGCATCCCCAGGTCATTTGGGGACACTTGTCTGTCATAACTGGGCGGAGCGAGCAGTGAGATCACAGCTGGCTCTGCCCAGCTCTCATTTGCGCGGAGAACGGCCGGACCTTTGGCAGGCCGTTCTTCCTGCTTCAGCTGTCACTTCAGCTCAGTTGAGCCAAAGCATATGCCTCTGGCTTGGCTGAGCCACTCGGCTGCCTTCAGCTGCTGTTCGGGCTATTGTGAATATCCCACACAGCAGTCGAACCGAAGGGCTCAGGCGGCCGAAGCGAGCCAAAGGATCAGCTGAAGCTACAGCTGGATCCTTCAGCTCTTTAGTGAATAACCCCCTAAGTTTTAAAAACATTATAATTTATTCATGAAACTACATTTATTAGGTCAATCATGGTTATTGATTTATGCACTTGTGCTTGGTAAGGTTAAGCAAAATCAAAGTTTAATTTTCCCAACATTTTAGGGAAACTTGGGAGACCAGCAAAATGTCAACATTTCTGTGGAATACATTGGAGTCAATAGGGAAGGCAATACTACGGTGGTTTTGAAGTACCATTGGGCTTTAAAAGACTCCTGAGGGTTACGGAAATTACTTTCAAGTTTTCTAGACTTGTTTTTTCCCAAATTGGCCCCTCACTAGCCTTTTTAGAATAAGAAAACGGACAAGTAAAGGTAAAATAACAATTTAAAGTGACAGTACTCAACAATCAAATGGGCAACAAAACAGTACAAAAAAAATCACAAATACAAACACTAAAATGAATAAATTAAACTTAAATACAGTTTCAAAATTGGTAATTTGACAGCAAAATCAATTTTGCTGAAATAACTTTGCTCACCCATTATTTTGGGTGGGTCAGTTTTTATAGCACAGACAAGTCCGTTAAAGTTTAGTGTTGTCACAAGGGAGAACCTAGACTCTGTTGCATAAAGTAAACCTAGTCTCTAGATAGTGGTCACATAATCAACATTTGAAAAATATCTTAGTTTGCTAACATTCACAAAGATAATCACAACAGTTGTGTGAGGGTACATTATTTTTTTTGAAGGAGTAAAGGGGGAACACATTGATTTCACCAGTACTGACATAATCCCACACAAACAACAGCAGTTGGCTGAACATCTCCAGTCATCTCATTCCTGTTGTTACATCAGTGGCTGCCAATGAAGAATAGAAAGACATGGACAGAATCAAGGTAGTAGGATTTGGCTACTCTCAGAGCAGCAAAGCTTCCCTCAAAATACTCTGTATATTCACAAGGTTGGCTCTTCTTGTTAATATCTATGTGCAGATGAGAGGGTGAGGGGCACAGAACGATGCTAATAATGCTACTAATCGTGGATGAGAACAATAGAACCAACCCTCTAAATGTTCCCCGAAAATCAGTCATCAAGCAAGTATTTGTCTGTCACCTGGACATAAGACTGTTGCTTGATCTGGCCCACTGGTATCTTATGTCCACACACTGCAGTTTTGTGAATGAAAATACACATCTGTTTCTCATGCATGTGTTTCTTTCTGTATTAACAGGTCGATTTGGTGAACATTGGTAGTGCAGACATAGTGGATGGAAATCATAAGCTGACACTTGGTTTGATCTGGAGCATTATTCTCCATTGGCAGGTATGTTTTTACCTATATAGTGTTTAATGGCAAACAATAAATCAAAGAGTAAGTAATTCCCATATGAGTGTTACATTTAAACATTGTTGATAGAGGTTAATTAGTAAAACTGCTGATTCATCAATGTTTTGTTTTCTTTCCTAAATATTTGCTTGTAGATCTGTCTGATTTTTAGAGAATTACACAACTGAGAAGTTCAGGCAATCATGTTTTGAGAATAGAATGATTCTATGCAGAAAAAAACCTATGTGCATATGTTCAAAAGAATACAAAAAGTAGCAATTTCATTTTCTAAATCTGTCTGTTTTAAATAAAAAAAATAATTAATACTTACCCGTGCATAAGATGTAGCACATCTATTTTGTCTAATACCTTATTAAATTGAATATGCTCACAGTTATGACAAAAGCAAATACCTGGTTCTATGTTACCTTATACCTAATGGAGTCAAACTTCAGCTACAGAAACAATGCAGGCTTTTCCTTCCTTCTAACTTTCTCCTAGTGTAACCCCGCAGTGCAGTGTAGTCCTGTATCCTCCGATTTGTCTTCCATCAGACCATTCAGTAAACCTACAAAACATAATTTATCTATAGTCAACAAATAACTCTGCAACTCCAAGTATACTGCTTGCATAAAAGGTTTAGATTCTTTTTCTACTACTAAATTCCAGCAACAGAATATTTTTCTGGATTCTGATTTTTGTTGATCATATGCCATGTCTGATAATAATATAATATTTTAATGAGAAAAAGAACATCAAGGGCAGTTTGAGAAAAGACGAGAGTGATTTTTAAAAGTATTGCATTTTTGTTTAAACATTGATTAAAAACTAGATTTGGAAAACCTAAAATATCTAATGCTTAATGTCAGTTGACATGAGATGACTATTGGGCATTAGGAAGCAATAAGTCCACTGTAACATTCTGTCATTCTCACATACATAAAAACACTGTATATATCAGCCACAGCCACATATACCATTAGAAAAGAATAGGCCATCCAAAATTCCAACATGGATTGTACTGTTTTCCCAGAAGCTGTTTCTACTTTCTACTGTTTCATAGCTCTGTGTTTTCCTATAGATCACTTAGGGCCATTTCACACCAGATTCGGAGCGGTAGCTTCTGGAACGCACCCCCCTTCATTCTGGGGCTGGAGGGGGTGTGGCGGTACATTGAAGCCAATGGCCCCACATTCAGGTCACCTGTGCTATAAACAGTAGTCCTTGCTTTGAAACCAATAGGCTATCTTTATAGAAAAGCGAGCCTGTCATTGTTTGCATATTAAAGGGTAATTCCACTTTCCCAGGCAAATTTGAGTACATGGAATTACCCCCACCAATCTGCTCCCCCCCCCCCCCCGTCTGGCGCTCCCTTTTGGGGGATAG